CCCTCCGCCCCCGGGCCCCCTCCCTGGCACGACCGGCTCGGCTGTCTGCCGCCCTCGGCCGCCAAGCTTCCCGCAGCGGCCGTCTCCACGCAGAGTGGTGTCCAGAGCGGTGGGGTCAGGGGACGGAGGGGAGCTCAGTCTCCGAGGCGGCCCGGGAGGGCACGTGTGCGGCGTCACCGGGAGGGAGCCCGGGGAAGAGGCGGGCTATCAGCACCAGCCAGCGGTTGTATACATTTGCAGGGCCGTGGCCGTCCTCCCAGGGCCAAACCCAGGTGGCCCGGGGCTCTGCCCAGTGTGGCTGGCGGTCCGGCTCTCTGCCCCGCACCCAGGCTTCAGGCTCGTGAGCAGGCTGTGAGGGACAAGTTCAAGCAAGCAGCCAGTCTCTCTGGACCCCCCCCTCCCTATCTCTGCCCTGGAGACGCAGCCACGGTGAGGGGCCTGGCCTGCGCATGGCCCTGCCGCTGGCCCGCACCTTCTGGGGCCTCTGGTTCGTTGTATTATAGTAGATTTCGCTGTGGAAAATGTCACGTTTAGTCCGTCACCTTGGAGCCCACTCGCCTGGTCCTGTCGTTTTCCCTGTCCCCTCTCCTGAGCGCCCTTGGATTTCTCTTGTTTCTGAGAACAGTACACCCGTTCATCTATTGTAGAGTAACCCCTGTGACTCAATATTACCATAGTGCGATGTCGTTTTGTGCTATTTTGAACAATTAAAAGACTTTTTTTGAAATAAGCACCTTCTGTTTTACTGTGTCTGGGCTCATGGGACTTCGAGGCCAGGGGTGTGACCCTCCCCCAGGGCTGCCTGCCCCACCTGGGCGCCTCTCCATCCAAGACTGCTTCCCAAGTTTCAAGGGTCTGCCAAGGCCCCTGGCCCTTGGGACTGAGCTGGGCCAGGGCCTGGTTGCCCGCAGAAGGTCCCACGGTAGCCGGGGCTTAGAACACGGGAGGAGTGCCCTGGGCAGCCGCTCCTGACTCCCTGTCTAGAGAGCGGGTCATCGGCCACGGGCCTCCGTGAATGGCTGGGGAGGACTGAGCTGGGCTCTCTCGCGGTGTCCGCTCCCCAGGACGCATGGGTATCGCCTGCGGGGTGGTTCCCGTGTCCGAGGCCCAGCAGGTGCCGCTGGAGCGGATCCTCTCCTGCCCGGGCTCCATCCTGCACATGGGCCAGGCCCCGGAAAGAGAAGGAACGGAACTCTCTCGAAGTAGCTCCTCGCAGCCCCACTGCTGGCGCAATTGCCAGGGTGGGTGGTGTGCCGGGGTTAAACGGGTGGGGTTGGTACTTCCCGCCAACCAGCCAGGAGGGGCTGTGCCGCATCCCGTCACTCTTGCCGGGGACCCAAGGGCTGTGGGGAGAGGCCATCCTCGTCACCCTCTCATCTAGTCACTCCCTCTCTTCCCTCGCGTGCGTGTACCCACGCGGTGCCAGCTCATGGCCACCTCTCTCGGGAAGCCTCCCAGGGTAATCTCCCCTCCGGTGCTCCCTCCACCGGGTTCACGGTGTCTTGTGTTGGGTCCTGTCCCGTCCATCTTGACACCAGGAGCCATGGCTCCGTCCTCCCCACGGCACCAGCTCTGATCTGGTTTGGAGCCCAGGCGTCTCCAGGGGGCAGGGACCCAGGGAGACGGCAGACATGTGTCCCTCAGGTTGGAGCAGCGGGAACAATGCCCCTGTGTGGGAGGATGCACACCAGCTGGTGCAAAGGGTCCACATGGGGCTGGCCCCAGAAGGGGAGGGCCCGTGCAGACGTGCCAGGCGTGCGACAGACGGCTCTGTGGATGCTTGCACTGGGGACGGCCCCCCGGGTTCTTTCCACCCGCCACTCCACCATCCCTCGGCCCGCAAGGCACTCGGGGCCCTGTCACTACAGCATCTTTGGTGCCGGCTCACATCTGAGCACAGTGCTCTGCAGCCTTCTGGGGAGAGGCCCATGCGCGCGGGGAGGAGTGGGGCCAGTCCTCTGCCTCGGGACTGGCCAAGGCGCCGTCCGTTGGACCCAAGGCCAGGAACCTTGGAACCTCCCACATACCAAGGCTTGCCCTTGGATAGGCATGACGGGGACGGACGGACTGCAAGGAAGGCAGGGAAGAGGCTGGACGTGAAGGGAAATACCATGAATACTGACAACACGCATCTGTGAGCGGGGCGGGGGGGGTACAAGCCCCGTTGGACCCAAAGCCAGCACCTCCCCTAAGCACGAGCTGGGGCCACCGCTCTGGGCTGCCTTGCCCTGCCCAGCCCCTGCCCAGCCCCTGCCCGGCCCCTCCCCCACTCGCCCCTCATCCCAACTCAGTTGAAGGGTGGTGAGAGGTGGCTGGGAGCCCATGTGAGGGAGTCGGCCCCGCGTTCCCCGTCCCAGACTGTCCCGCCAGCTCACCCAGCATTTCTCCCCAGGAGGATCTTGAGCCCAGGGCGCCCAGCAGCGGCCACTGCCCGCCTCCTTTCCGACTCCGGGGCCCGAGGGGTCTGGGCCGGGCCAGCGTGGGGGCGGTGCCGGAGCACGGCGGGCGGAGTCGTGCGACCGCCAAGCCCCGCCCCCAGGCTCTGCGGCACCTCCCGGAGGAGGGGTCGGGTGGGGCGCCGCTGGGTCAGCTGAATGACAGTCACGGGACAGCGACCAGCTCCGTCTGGCTTCCTGGAGAAGGAGGGATGAGCGGGGGTCTCCGAGTGCGGCAGCCCAGCGGTGGGGCCCGTAGTGGGGACGGCGTTGTCATGAAGGGTTCCCGGGACGGTGGGGTCAGTCCCGGGGCCGGTCCTGGGCCAGAGGGCAGCCTCCGGCACGGGTGCGGGGAGACCCTGAGGTCTGGGTCCCGAGGCCTGGGGGCCTAAGGGGGGCGGGTCAGGTGGTCCTGGGGTCCACAGGAGCCTGGGGTGACTTGGGACACAGAGGAACCTGTTGAGGAGGTTGGGGCCTGGGAAGCTGGGGACGTCTGCGGGGCAGCTGGGTCTCCAAGTCCCGAGTTCCCCTCAGGACATGGAAAAGGAGCAGGAGCGGGAGGCTCTGCAGGCCTGGAAGGAGCGCGTGGGGCAGGAGCTGGACCGCGTGGTGGCTTTCTGGGTGGAGCACTCCCACGACCAGGAGCATGGGTGCGTCTCCCCCTTGTGGTGTCCTCAGCAGGGGTCTTTGCCCCTCCTGAGCCCCCACCTCGCTCTCCGTGGACCCAGATCTGCCGAGCCCCGCAGGGCGGTGGGGCGGGGGTGGTGGTGGTGGTGGTGTGTGTGTGTGTGTGTGTGTGTGTGTGCAGCCCCTCCCCCGCTTCACTGATACTGTGCCTCCCACAGGGGGTTCTTCACGTGCCTTGGCCGAGACGGGCAGGTGTATGATGACCTCAAGTATGTGTGGCTGCAGGGGAGGCAGGTAGGGGACGTCAGCTCCGCCTGTCCGCAGTCCACACACACACACGAAGCCGGTCCCCTCCACGCTCTTCCTCCCATGACGGCGGCACCTGAGCACTGCTCGTCCCAGCCCTGAGGACCCCGCTGCTCCCCACTGAAGCCAGATTCCCTCTGCTCCCCCACAGGTGTGGATGTATTGTCGCCTGTACCGCAAACTCGAGCGCTTCCGCAGCCCCGAACTTCTGGACGCGGCAAAAGCAGGTGTCCCCTCCCCTCCCCCCATCTCCCCAGAAGCACCTCCAAGTGTACTCTAGTTCCTAGAGAGGTCTAGAAGCAGCGAAGGGCCTGGGGACGCTCACGGGTGGGAAGGAAGGGGAAGGTGGCAGTGTCCTCACCTGAGTTCTAGCGGGCCGAC